AGCTTGAAAATGCTTCAGACTACAACTCCCAGGATTTGCCAGACAACATATAATCTCTGCATACAGAGGGCAATATGGTAGAGAAATGAAATTCACCACTTCAAAGTGGCATTCAGCTTCTCTACCACTCTGCAATCTCTCTGAAAAGATGGAACCTTATGGATAGATGTGTGGTTAGGCCTTTCTCTGCTTTGCAGGATTCAGGAACAAGGTCTCTCCTTCACAGCATGAACTACTGTAGTCTGTTCTATATGTCATTGTATTGCATGCGCAGCTCTGTCCTAAAGGCCAGAGAGGGAATGAAGTGACCAAAATATGTGCAAATTGTACCAGTTTGCTTTTTTTTTTTTTGCACATTGCAAGAAATATCTTCATTTCATTTTTTTACGCACACACACAAACAAAAACAGTGTTAAAATTAAAGTTCCACATTCCCAGTGCAATCATCTTAGTCTGCATTAAGACTCCCTGTGGTGATTTTACCGTTTCAGAAACATCACAGAACACAAAAAGCCACAGGAGAGGTAATCACAGATGCTCTGTTCCCTTATCTGGCTGCATCCTCAGAAGCATCAACAAGGAAAATAAACAAGATCATGAAGTGTCCCCCTAAAATAATTTAGTCTGACATTTATTTTCAGGGTCTTTAATGAAGACCACAGAGAGTTATATTGGTTTGTTACAACAAATTTGTAACAGTGAAATTACTATATATATGTGTGTACGTGAGATTTCCAAAAGGAGAGTCTTCGTGGCTTCTCCCTCCTACAGTGCTTCCTCCTAAACACAGATTTAGCTTATTCCAATACTGTTTTCAGATCAAAAACAAAGCTGCCATTAAAAAAATGCTTTTAACATCTCAATTAATCTATAATAAAGCTCAACTGCCTTGGGAATGTAGGGTGGTTCCAATCAATAATGCTATTCTGCAGCCCTTGGGGAAGGAGCAGAGGCTGCCTGTAAAACTGCCTTGTTGTGTAGAAAGGGAATTTCCGTAGGTGCAGCTTTTCTCTCATCTTCCCAGGACAAGCTCCTCCTCCTCTGCTATATGACTCATAAAATTACTGACACTCAAACCTTTCCCTGCAACCAGCTGCTTGCAATAAATAATTTTGACAACAGGATTTGAAAGGATAACAGTTTCTCACAAGGGCCTGCCTCCTTCCAGCTCACAGCAGATTTGCCTGTCTGCTTGTTCTTTTCTGTGCAGAGGACAAGGATTTCTCTGATGTGCTGATGAAATTAGCTGAAAAGCACCGTGAAACCTTGTCAACACAAAGCTGCACAGGAAATCCCACTGGGTTGGTTGCTGAGCTTGGGAATTGTCCACCAGCACAGAGGAGGCACTACAGCAGTGCCCAGGTGTGCACAACACAGAAGAGAGAATAAAACACCAAGAGAGCTATTATGAGTTACAATCCTCTGCTGCTGATTCTACCTGGATCCTCTACACAATTCCAATCACAAGAACAGCTAAGGAAGGGAAACAGAGGCACTGCAGATTGGTCGACACAGAGAAGTATTTAGAAATGAGGCCAGAGTCTGCGTAATGCTACAGAAAGAAGTGAATGGAAAGGTTTAAAATTCTGATCCCATATTGTGACAAAACTAATGGCCAATGTGACATTAGTTTAAAGCAGGCATGGGTTGATCTCAGCAGGGCTGGAGGCCATTTTTTAGATTTCTCAGGAACCTGATGTCTGAACTCCCAAAGGGACAAGGCTAAAGGGGAGAGTGTGGCCAAAGAGGTTAATTTTGTACATCATATAATTTTAAGTGTATTTAGTGTGTATGTGTATGGGATGGTTTTGGGCAAAGATGGCCTTGGGGAGCTGCATGTAATCTATGGTCTGTATTTGTCCAGCCCTGGCTTATGGAGAATTAAAGCCACCCTGCCAGCTATTGTTGAAGCAATTAAAATGTACCAGACAGTTCTAGCATCACAGTAAAATTCAAATGCTTTGTAAGGTTATACAAGGCCAAGGCATGGTGGAGCATCTTTGCCAGTCTTAGGCAGTCAATCCTCGCCATGGAGAGTTGGGTCTGAAAAACTAAGGCAAAGTGTGAGTGCAGGGAGAGTAAGTTATAAATAGGCACAGGTTATGACATTGCACAATATTATTTCTGATCATGGAGCAGATCTCTCAAAATATCAATCTTAGCTTCTAGTTTCTGGTCTTGTGGAACATGAGCCAACATAATATCAACCTGAAGCCTGGTCTTAAACGGGTAGGGCTTTAAAAAAAAATAATTGAAGAGAAGCAGCACTTTGAGTCATCAAGTAGGGCAGCTGGGAGAGACTATGGGAAAGAAAGCAGAATTTGGGCCTATATGGTGACACATTTTGTGGTTCTGATTCTTCTATCTAGTATAAGATAGTAAAGTTTGTTGCTGGGACTGTTCAGGCTGCAATTCTCCACCTTTATATCGGTAAAAAACATTCACATATTATAGAAGGCCGCATGCTTCCAGTAGATACCAAATATGTATGAAAATCCTGACCCCCATAAGTTCTCACTGTTCAAAATGAGGCAAGATTGTAACCATGTCAGCTTTTTTTTTACATCTGTCTCTTGGATATTATATGTTACAGCAGGGCTGCCATTTGTGAGGTGTTTCTCTCAATGACTTTAACCCAAATTCCCTTTCCACTCCCTATCAGCATGTTAACATCCCTCTTGGTAATTCATAATGTGACAGATTTATACGATCTGAAGACAAACCTGAGTATGTAATTCATAATGAAGAAAAGCTACCTCCCCCCTGAGCTAGTGCCATCCTGTCATTTTAAGGGGGGGGGAGCTGAAGAGATTTCAAAAGGATTGGAGTAGTGAGAATTGATTCAAGTAATTGTATCCCCCCTCCCCCCACTTGTCATGCTAGCAAGGGAATGTCCCAGCACCACTTGACTGGAAAGGATTTGGTGCCTATCTTTTCATGCAGCTTGTAATGTGCTCTGCAGCTGTCCATCTTTCATCCCATCTGCTGGAGATTTTGTTTTGCTTGCTTTAAAAAAAAGGTTTGTTTTTAATGAATGAATGCAGCGCACAGGAAAGGAAATTGGCAGTGCACATTGTGGGCATGTGCTCTGTGAGCTTCCCCCATCAATGCACATGTAGGCACATTTGCACAGAGTGAGAGAGCAAGAGAGAGCTTTTAATCCCCAGTTGGAATGTCCTTTAATATCACTTCCGCTACTGCTTTCCCTTTTCCATTATTCAAGTACTACCAATGAAAATTGGACTCATCAATTAATTAATAGAATCAGAGGTGGGCAATTATGGCCCTCTGGGCAGTGTCAGACTGCAACATTCACCTAAGGTTAAGCTGGTTAAGATTGATCATGTTGTTGTGCAACAACGTCTGGAAGGCTGCAAGTTGCTTACTCAAAACTAAATTTGTAGTGGAGTAAGTCATTTATGGCAGGTAGCAGTGGCAGCTGAACTCCAGGAAAGGGTGAGACATGACCAGGTCCTGCTCCAGTCACTAGAACTAGTTATTCACAGTTCTCTTGCCCATTGATTTTAACATGGTCTTGACAAGACTTTGGATCATGGCCAGCAGTATCATTCCTTCTTGCTATTTAATCCAACAGAAATGCTCCAGTGCAAAAGTGCAAGACTTACCTGGTTAGTTCTGACATTTTAGAGCACTGAGTTGGAGGCTGCCAACCCAAAGCTAAGGGTATACAGGATAAGGTGTTAGTCTTGCTTGAGATCTCCAGGAGCTATTGAAGCCATCATACAAAAAGGGCTACATAAGCCCATTCAGAAGGGGTGAGGTCTGTCAAAAGGGAGTAGGATGCAGACATTGCAACTCTGGATCAAACTGCACTGGTAAACAGGAAGGCTCAGAGAGGTCAAACTACACATTACATTAAATACACACAGTTCTTTGTACAATTTAAGCACAATGCATAAGGAAAATGTGCAGAAATCTCATCTCATCTGATAGGAGGAAAACAAAAAAGGTGAAGAGAAAAGACAAGAACATGACCGGAGAATATAATGTATCAAGGTGATTGTCTTCCTCTGGAAATTATAGAACTGAATTTGTTTTCCGTTAAGTAATCTTATGACGCCTCAAGTGAAGCTTGATAGCAATCATACAGACATTATTATGATTGATCTCTGTTGAGTTCAATAGGTCCTACTGCCATATAAGTACAGTACATACAAAGATTGTAATCTTAATGCATATGAATGTGTTATCTTGCAAAAATTGATGCCCTCAGATATTAGGAGATAAATTTTTGCAATTTAACAAAGGCTACAATTCATGGTTAGAAAGAAAGGCAATTTTTAAAGTGTTATTTTCAGTTCTTAAATGCAGGAACACAAGAACTGAAACAATCTCAAAAATAAACGTTTGCTCTTAATTTTAACTATGACTGATTAAAATTTGCTTTTCAGTGATGTATAACTGAAAGTTCAGCTGATTAATTTACTGACTAAGGAGGTTAAAATGTATAGCACTAGGCTTAAACCCTTCCAAATCCCATGCCTGACTTGTAAAGAATTTTGTAAATTAAAATGTCAGGGTCCCTGGCATGGAACGTGACATTTTTCACTTGATGTCTGCCTTACTCTTAATTGAGGGGAAAACAAAAACAAAACCATAACTAAATTCCTTATGACAGCAGCTGTGTGTATATGCTACAAGAGAATACAGAAATATGAAATACCCATGTCCTTTCATGTGCAATTGAGCGGTTGGTCTGTTCATACAAACAATGCTGATTCCCTTTCTGTTGTTCGTGTATACCAACCAGCACACAGTGAAACCATCCGATTATCTCTGTTCATAAAACAAAGTACACATAATCTGATTTTGTCTCATTTATCTCTCATTGTCTTTACCACTAGTATTTCTTTCCCACACTTTTCCCAATGAAAAAAAAGTTAAGTCTATTTTATTTGCTTGCTTCCTTACTTGCTTCTCTTAGTTTGAGCTAGAACTGCTAGTAATAATTGATCATTAATAAACAATCTTGAGGCAAAAGAGACATGTTTATTAAATCAAGAGACAATGACAAAGGACAGGAAAAGTACAAGCAATATACTGTTTCAGATATCATTATTAACATAAAAAGTAAAATGAGATAATATTTTTGTGTCAAATTAAAAACCATGTTTTTCATTAGTACATAATATTGCCTGCTTGTTCCACTTTCTGCTCTTGTGCCTTTTAAAGCAGCTTGGCATACAGAAAAGCAGCAGAAGCTTGTACTGCTTTTGATGTCCTTGCCAAAATAAATAAAATAAATAAATCTTCCACTACCTATATTCTACTTATCAGGCTGTTAACTGCATAAGAGGAGGGCCAGGGGAGGGGAGAAGGAAGGTGTCCTATGAGTACAGGATCGGTACTCAGGATCACTGTTTCTCAAGACTTGTAAGAGCCATTTAGAAATTTACCTGGTCATAACTCAGTGAGGCTCACTTCTGTGTAGCTAAACTGAGGATAATGTTCCAAGGCTGCAATCCAACCCTTATCTGGAAGTCACCCCCCCACACACACACCTCCTTCTTAGTAAGTATACATAGGGTAGTAAAGGTAATGTGTACCTTTACATTATCGAATAAATGTCAACAAATTAACACGAACTGGCTTTTGTAAGAGTTCCTTCCTTGGCGCCTTCCTTCCAAACTGCAGTAATAGTGGATTAAATGAAAATTTATGGAAACAGTTTCAAAGTTAATGCTATGTGTGGCTGTTCTGGGGAATTCAGGAGAAATTGTTTTGTAACAAAGTAGGGAATTGGTATTTTTAAAATCTGTTAATTAAGAGAGAAAGTAAAACCTTTTTGTTTAATCCAGAGAAGAGCATTTCCTCACCAAGGCTAACCAACCAAGCAAAGGGAACACTCCCTGTCCCTGAAAAGCAAGTTTACATGGTCCAGGAATGCTGCAAATGCAACCTAAATAAAAATAGATGGGAGGAGGCAGGGGGGGGGGACAAAATCTCCACTATAAGAAATCTTCATATCCAAGATGCCACCACCAAGAAAAGCCTGTCATGTACTGCTACCTTGTGCACCACACTTGTCAGCACCATAAGCAGAGCCTCTCCAGTTGAACTAAAATCCTGGATTTGTTTGTGCCTTACAACACTTAATTGCAGCATGGGGGGCAATGCCAGTGTGTGAGAGAGACAGAATTTGGGGGGGGGGAAAGAATGTGGTGGATGTGTAGTCCTATAAGGAATCCAACTGGGTAACTGCATGAGCAGACAGGTACTAGCCTGACCCGTACTATTCCAGTTTCTGGTCTGCCTCCATATAAGGAGAGTGACCTTCTGAAGATGACACATTTCCTTATTTGGGAACACTCTATATGAATCATAATGCTGATTCTTTAGCATTCCTGACTGCATGGATTGTTCACAGATTAGGAAATTGACTATCTTCAGAAGGTTGGTCTGTGAAGGACAACTGATTGCTTCTTCTGCTCACGTAGTTTCCTACTTGGATTCCTAGTGTGCGAACAGAGCTTCAGTGCTTTTCTCATTCTCTCTCTCTCGCAGACCTGGAAATGTATTTGTTTGGAAGGCTCAAAAGGTAATTTTTGGTATTTCAAAACTGTATTTACAAACATGAATACTTTTGTTCACTGGCGTACACAGAAAGCATTGGTTTAAATTACCTGTAACGCTTCCAAACTGATAGCCCACTCAATCCTGTGAGTGAATGATGAAAACATTAGTCCAGTAACCTTTCCCTTTCAGATGCAATAGGAAAGGCTGGTATGATTGTTTCGCTTCCCAGCTAAATTAAGACTTCCCTCCTAATCCCTAAGGGATCGTCCCTGCTAGTAAATTGCCTGCAATTATCCTGTCTTGCAGGGAAAAGGCTGAGACCTCTACACATCTTCACATCATAGTCTTGTCTCTTCCTTTCTACAGATGTGCAGCAGACCATCTACAGTATATGACTTCCACTATGAATCTATACGACCATTATTTGTTCCTTTAGGAATGTCCAGGCCCACACAGTCAAGTCTGGAGGAGCCAACGCCCCCTGACATAATGCTGTGGAAAATAAAATTGTTAATTTCTGGTCCTCATGGGTGATCCTTGCTTATTCTTTAAAAAAATATATCAATTTAAGTTCAGCCATGAGTGTTTTATTTTCATATTGTTTCTCTATTTGCTTCCTCCAGCTTCTGCTCTTCCCACAGGCTCTTACAGTTTTGTGCTTACATTCTTCCCTGCCCCTCCCCAGTCCATTACTAGCAATGAAAACTGCAAGCTGAATCTGACCATTAGAGAAGGCTTAAGAGCTGGTTCACACACTTGCTGGAAACATCACGAGGATCTGCATGTTTGAACAAATATAACTCTACAAGTGGACCACCCAGGTGGCTAATCTTCAGTTTCTCAGCCTCTTCAAGCAAACTAATGTGTGAAAAAAAAACAAAGAGAATGTTCAGATTAGTGCTACCCATCCCCAAAATGATGGGCCTCTCACAGTAGGTTTCCATACCCTTCTGTCAGCAGGCTTATCAATATGCCACACAATTATACTGAAGGTTATGTAATGTTAGTCACTGTTGCTAAGATGCAAAATGCATGACAACTTAAGTAGAGAATTCAAAGTTCTATTTAAAAAGTCTTTCCACCTATTTTTTTAAATTGTCTGTTGTGGTAACAGGCAACTGTATGGTGTATATTTTATTGTTGTTTTTGTTGCTGTTATTTGCTGGGGTCTTTCATTATTCCTGTCAGAAGCACCATAGTACAATTAATCAATATAGCCAATAATTTTCATCCGCTAATGGGTGACACCAGGAGACCCTGAAGCAGCTATAGCATCATATCTTCCCTAATATGTGTTGAGGGGCATAAAGGGCACTAATGCAAGTGTGAAGTTGCCTGCTGTTCTTGGCACTCCCAAAGAACTTTATTGGTGTGAAAACCCATTCCTTAGGTTCTCTTGGGTTCTGCCTACTCCAAGCTCCAAGTAAGCCAGTTCTGTATGTGTGTTTATATATATGTATAGGGTTTATAGGCAGCTAAATAGCATATTTATTACCACTTTGATATGACATCTGTATTTTGAAGAATAAAAAATAGGCACAAAGCCTTTTCAATATACCCTTGTGCATATGCTATGCATGATACAGAGCATCAAACTGCCATTTTGTCACTGTTTTCAGTTAGCATAAGGACATCCGGAAAGCAGCCATGGATTGTGTATATCATATCTTACTTGTTTCTAATATCCCTGATACTCACATATTTTCTTCACATATGCAGACCATATGTTTTGCTGAAGCTGCGAGGTATAAAATATAACTAGATTGTGGTTGAATCCAGTAGTATTGGCTGCTGAGTTTGTGACTTAACAAAACAGCCTGAGCAGCAAATTATGTGAAACTTTCTCCAGAGAGAATCAACACAAATTATGTTGTCTTTCTTTTTTGCATAAATATACATTAAAAATAAACATTTTTCAGAAATTTGGGCAGTAAATACAGAATATACAAAACCATAAGTTATACAGAAGATGTAAATATTTCTTAAAAAAATAGTTGACCTGTTAAAAACTTCATAAAATGTGCAGATATGCACGCAGACACAAAAGATGTGACTTCTCATGCAGCCCCTGGAAGAAAAACAAATAGGGATTGGGAAGAGAGGTGAGAAAACATTATTTAGGATGATTTCAGTGCCATCACTTAAATCTGTCTTCTAAATCTACAGTCAAGAGCTGCTGTGCAACAGAAATTTATGGTGTTATCTTAGGAGCAGGGAAAATGCAAAAGAGAGGAAATACAATAGAAAAATGGAATTCTCTTATTGAGTCTTCCTCCTATCCCTTGTCTATGAAGTTTGGGATGTCAATCAATCTAACTGGAGACCACCTTCTTGTAATGTAGCAGGGAACAAGGAGGATACTCAGGAGGTGGGAAAGAGTTAAGGTGTGCCCCTTCCTTCCCCAGTCCTGAAATGTTTTCACCCAAGCAGTCAAATTCAATCTCGGGAGGATCACAGAGGATGCATCCCAATAAGCAGGTAGAGCCAAAAGCAAAGTGATAATGGCCATAATACGAATACAAATGCCATAAATTTTATAAATATTATAATCAGCTGCAGATCCCTGAAATAACACCATCAGATCTTCTCCAGCAGTTTTGCTTCCCAGATAAGCTTTAGGAAAGTTTCTAATCATCTCTCTATAATCTACAAATAAAGGTAGTTGTGTATACAGAAATGAAAGCTTAGCCACAATTTTAAGAGCAAACACTTTTTGCAAGCCAAGATAATTTTACCCTTGAGCAGTCACCAGAAGCCTTAGTGATATTATCTCTCTTTTCTCTTTCTCTTTAAAACCTTTATTGGCATGCTGATATTATCAAATGAGATAAAATAATGTGTCAGTCTAACTCAACAGAACTCTTACTTCCAAATAACTGTCTTCTGAATCTATTCTAGAAATTTCCAATAAATTCATTATCTTCCTGTTAGCTGCAAATTTAAGCCATCAGTTCCGATTTTCAAAATTTTTATTTTGTAAATTGGAATGTTGGTTTTGCAATATGCATACCTTCAATCAACAATAAAACCACAATGAGCAAACCACACATAGAATAGTACACACACTTGCTGGTTGTGGTTTTATTTTCATCTGGAACCAAGACAACACATATACAATAAAGATGTAAGAGGCATAACAGAATCAACTGGCTGCTCATTGCATGAATATAATGAAATCTTAACTACTCTTTGGCCAGCTTTTTATTAATAAAGTTTTATCACCTTTAATCACTATTGCCAATGTTTTCTGCATAGGCATAGGAAACTAAAATGATGATAGACTTCCTTCTCTAATTAAATTCTTAGTGTAACAAAAACTTTGGGAATTTCAACATATGCCTGCAGTGGTCTCAGTCCAACAACATCACCAATAATGGCTCCTATGGATGCATATTACAACTAGCAAGAGAGAACGATGCATGCCCTTATAACCTTTCAGGAGATTACAGATTCACAGGGAGGAATCAAATCTTGGCAAGTAATAAAAGAGGAAAGAAAAAAAAGATAAATTGGCTATCTTATCTTCAGTTAATTTCAAGGTAAAAGAGGCTACACAAGATAATAGAGGAAGGTTAAGAAAATTAACAGAATTTGAGAGAATAATTATGCAAAAAAGAGAGCGTATATTAGGACAAATATACAAACAGAATTGGAACCAGTTAAAATCAGTATGTTAAAGTTGATGCAAAATCTAGGAAAAATAACTTTCCAACAATGGGACAAAACTTATAAAATTCACTGCAAGTCAAACTTTAAGAGAAAACTAGTATAAAATGTATTATCAATGGTATATAACCCCAACAGATTAAAAAATATGGACAAAAGCTATTCAGAGCTCTCTTGGAAGTGCTAAGAAGCTGAAGGCTCATATTACCATATGTGGTGGACTTATAAAAAGACAAAGAAAATTTAAAAATATGGACAAAAGCTATTCAGATCTCTCTTGGAAGTGGTAAGAAGCTGAAGGCTCATACTACCACATGTGGTGGACTTATAAAAAGACAAAGAAAGTCTGGAAAGACATTCATTCTGAAATGCAAAAGTTTCTAAAATTTGAAATTGAAATTAAACCAGAGACCATGCTCTCAGCAATAACACAAGATAATTTGGGGGAAGGGAGTTTTCTTCATGAGAACTTTTCAATTACACGTTGATGGCAGCTAGGGTAATAAATGGCAATGAAGTGGGAAATGGAGGCATGGCCAACAAACGAGATTGGAGAGATGAAGTGTTTGAATATGCCATAATGGCTAAACTCACAAATTATGTAAACAGAAAGTCAGTTAGAGAATTTGAAAGAGTGGGAAAACTATTTTGACTGTTATAAATAATTAGAAGGGGGTATAAAACCAACTTTGCAAAAAGTATTAGGTAAAACAAGTAGAGTTCACATTCTAAAATGCTAACAAAAACTAAAGTACGGCACTGCTTAGAATAATATGTTTAGCAGAGATGTTAAAATAAGGCTATATAAACTACTGTCAGTTGTCCTTGATATGTGTGTGTATGTGTGTGTATGTGTGTGTGTATAGACACACACACACACACACATATACACACACATATACATACATACATACATACATACATACATACATACATACATACATACATACACGCACAGATACAGAAATACATACACGCACAGATACAGAAATACATACACACACACAAAGAGAGGGGGGGAGAGAGAGAAACACACACACACATACATACATATATACACAAAGAGAGAGAGGGAGAGAGAAAAACACACACACACATATGCCTGCAGTAAGCAAACTGTATAGCAGTTTATCTCAGGCATGACTTCTTTACATACAGCCTTTCAAATCATGTCATGAAACACCACTCCATGCAATCAAAATCTTGACCTGCATCTAAATATATAACCCTTGCACACTAGGATTTAAAAAGGATATGAATTGTTCTGGACTGCTCTCTAACTCTACCAGAATTCCAATATACTGAAGTTAACAGTAGAGTCAGCAGTGTGCTTCTAGTTATGGACTGAATTAAAAGTACAACTCTTAATTTTTTTCACCAAGAATTCCAACTTCTCAGGCTTCAAATGGCAACCAGACAATGACAGTGTTCCATCTCTGCATTTGAAAAATACGTTAAGTCAGCAGGCACAGAAAAGTACCTCCACTGTTGTCCCAACTGTTTTTGTCTTATAAAAATGCGAAATATAAATTGCAACTGCCCGAAACAGGGAGGGGGGAGTGATTGTTTACAGCTCTTCAAATAGCAATATTAGAGATTGCACACCTTGCAAATCTGTGCAGATTCTGCACTGAAACATATGGGAAGCTGTAGAGTCACGCTATTTGCACCTTATTTGCAAGTAATATTTGATGGTGTGGTGGCAAAAAAGTCATATTTCAAAGCAGTTCTGCAATAAAATAAGGTGTGCAAGAAATGCATGTCTTGTTTTAAAGCATATAGGAACATAAATATTCTTTAAAACAAGGTGCTCCTTGCATACCTTATTTTAAAGTGGATGCTACTTGGAAATGTGGCTTCTTTGCAGTTGCAAATTTGAGGACAAATTCCAGTGATATGACTGTAAGGAGGAAGAAACTGCTACAGAGAATCCAGTGTCTTCCAAGGAAGACTCAACATTCCTTAGGGATAAGCTGCTCTGAGCACGGGTAACTGCTTTGCTGAAATGTGAGAAATTGTAACCAACAAGCATATATTCCTTAGAGACCAATGTTCTTTTTAAAGAACTGTATAAAAATGTTTACCTTGTTGATCTCAGGGTCCCCACCCTACTGGGCACCCAAGTGCGCACTTGTTTTATCTGAATAAACCTGTTGCTCTTTCCTCTAAGAAACTGTCAGCTTATTATTATTGGTTGAGACTTGGCTTAATAGAAGGAGTAACATGACAGTGCAGGGAGCAGTGAGGATTACCAAAAAATGGAGACTGGCATCAGGCCTGCAGGCTGCACTGCTGCTATAAACACTGATGTTCTTTTAATGTATTTTGATTTTGTTACAACTTCCCAGAATCTGAAATGCCAACACTAAAGTCTTCTTGTGAAGAAGGTCCAACAGCTAGTGCGCCGTCTCCTCCAGATAATTCGAGAGTACAAAAAGCAGAGGAATGGGAGAGTGAGTCTAGGGAAGAGAAGAGACCTGAGGGGGTTAAAACTGAGATCTGTTTGTCAGAGGATGGGGTGAAAGAAGGGGAGGAGCAATGGGTGGAGGTCTGGGAAGAGAACATAAAGGAGGGAACTTTTATGCGGGAATTTAGAGCAGTGACTGGCAAGAAAAGAATAGAGAAGGAAGAGGCTGCAGCGCGCGGGGTGAAGTCTTTGATCGATGACTTCCCTAACCTAAAGGTCGGAGGGCTACTACCTGATCCACATCCAGATCCTGAGGGAGTTGTGGTCCAATAGACTCTAGAATGGATGGTAGTAGTTTTCCCCTGCAGACGCGGTCGTTGGAGGAAGGCGGTACATCCGGACCAGATCTTCAACAAGCCATCCTTCGAGGGGGATTGGGCCCGCCACCCTTGCTGCGGGACCATTTGCGCAGTAAGGAGTGCCCCATTGCGGAAGCCCAAAGACAGGGAGCGATTTGGGCCGGTTCCCCCCTTTTGAGACAACGTTATCAAGTTGATCCTCATGGACACGTTGAAAGAGCTTTTCCTCAGTTGGATGCGTTTATGCCAACGGAAGTGGTTGTTGATACTCCTGTGTTAAATGTTAATAAATCTTTACAGTTGCAAGAACCTATAGAGACTCCTTTTCCTCTGTACATGGGCCAACCGCCTATTGAAACCTACGGACATTTTGACACTTCTGCTCTTATTTTACAAAATGACTAATAGTTTCCCTCATAAGAACATAAGAAGAGCCCTGATGGATCAGGCCAAGGGACCATCTAGTCCAGCTTCCTGTATCTCACAGTGGCCCAACCAGATGCCTCTGGGAGCACACGGGACAACTAGATACCTGTCTCCTGATGCCGCTCCCCTGCATCTGGCATTTGGAGGTATCTTCCTTTTAAGCCTGGAGATTATACATCCCCATCATGGCTTGTAACCTGAGATGGACTT